CTCTTGGTGCCAGTTGTACAATCTCTAGACAAAATGAGTCAGAACTTCCTAATGCAAAGTAATGATGAATGATTAAGGACTAATGCTTAGGTGGTGTAAAGTGTACACAATTTGCTTGTTTCTGTTTCATCTTCTATTCTTATTCATTATTCTATGGTCATTCTATATAGAATGTGATGCCATTATAGAGCTGTGAAAAGAACAGCAAATATAATAGTAATATATTGTGTTCATTTCATGTTGTTTTTATTTATATATATATACTGTCAGTGGCAGATTAACAGGAGGGCATATGAAGCTGCATCCCAAGGGCCCCGAGGCAAATGTGGGAGGGCCCAAACTTTTATGATAGGATACTGCATATAAAGAGTTTTGTTTAAAAATGAAGAATTATTAGAATGGCAATGAATTTTAAAAAATTATTTCTTTTAAATTGGGAGTGCTATTTGAAATGTACTTATATTTATGAATAAATACTTTCTTTTGAGCAAGATTTATGTCGATAAAATAGGAATAACAATACAACATGTACATATACAAACAATTTAATTATAAATCCACACACATCTGTAGACCAAGGTGTATGTTTATCCATGCATGAGGGGGTCCAATATTATTCACTGTCTCAGGGCTCCGAGGTGTCTTAATCCTATACTGTATACATATAATTAAAATTTTCATACACACACACATACATACATACATACATACATACATACATTATCCATATCATTGATTCAACTTGAGCATTTAATTACTTAGAAAGTTTGTTTTCTTTTCAGATAACAATGAGCAAGACCAGGTAGCTGATACAAATTTGCTTCATATACCAGTTACACAGTTAGCTGTGCCAGGTACAGCCTTCAGTAACCACACCGGATATGCCACTATAAGTGCTGTACTTTCTGAAGGCACTTTGGCTTCCTTGCCAGAAGGTAAAGTATATTCTTTTGAAGAGAACCAACTTACCTCAGAAAATGCAGAAGAATTTCATTAAATAGTTCACATTATCATATACTAAACTGTCTCAAGTAGACAAAGTATTGATACTCATTTCTATTAAGTCAGCTGCGAGCAAGCTGATTTAAGTTTATGATTGATTTCTTAAGAAATAACATTTGTGTTCAGTGATTATACTACTTAATTGTATGTAAACCTCAATTTCTATAATAATGAAGACTGATGAGCTTTTCTGAGAAATTTGGCCTTGGGGATGATTACATTGAGAAATGTTAGCATATAATGATTTATAACTTTTATAATACTAGAATAACTTACAGTATTTTTGATACACATCATCATATTGGTTTAAGCTTGAATGTTGTTCTGAATTTATTTTAATTTATTTAGCAGTATCAAACTTAAATTAATTGTATTAAACATTAGAGTATAGTAGTAAAGTGAAAAACATTGTTTACAGCAGTGTTTGATGTAATAAAAATTGTTCCAACTTTTAAGTTCTTTAACTTTATTGTATGAAATATCTTTCTTAAAATTATATTTTATTTAAACTTTAATGATTGGCCTTCTAAGCTGTAGTTTTATAACAAATATAGTCCAAAGTTTTACATCATATTTTAATTCTGCTATACTGAATTATCTTCACTAGAACATATTTCATTTAAGATTTAGTTATGATGTTAGCTTATAATAACTTTGGTTCAGAAGCCACAGAGCAGGTGGGGAAAAGCTGTACAGAAAATGTGTTTGTATTCAGGAAGGTAGTATGCAGACTAAGGAAAAAAGTATGAAACGTGCACATGTATTTATGTAACCAGCAGTGAAAACATTGGAATGGTGTGTTGGAAGATTGTGAGCTAAAATGTTAAACTCCCTGCTGGCTATAACTGCAGGTATTTTTTTGAAAAAATTACATACTGAGAGTTCAATGTAAAACTGGTAATGAAGTAGAGTTTTAGTTGGTATAGAATTTTTTTACTTTCATAAATATTTACAACAATAAAGTTAAAATTTCTAAGCTATAATATGTTTTTAATGCTATTAGAATTAACTATTGTTTTTTTACTTATTGTATAACAGTTTTTCTCTCACATCTTAATTAGTTAAAAAATTTTTTTTAAAAACTAGCATAAACATCCACAGACTAACAGTTGGAATTTACATGATAATTCATAGTTAATAATTGTGGACTTGTCATTGATCTTCACAGTTCAGTAAATTTTTACATTATTACAATCCTGCAGACTGTTATTAGCCAAGCTTAAACTTCAAGCTTTAAAACTCATGAATTTAATAATCATGAGAACATACTATTACCAAATGTAATTTTGTATTAAAGCAAGTAAATTAATTTTTTATAGCTTTGAAAGTATTTAAAAGTAATATCATAGAGTATGGTGTAGATCATTTATGTATACTTTCATTCAGGTAAATCTTTTAAACTATTGATAGCTTACCTTCACAATTAGAGGTTTATTCTCCAGTTTGTAGTTCATTTGACAAAGAATAAACAAGTTTTGTCATTAAATGTTAGACATGTACGTTTGAATGGGTACCAAAAATCCTACCCGGATGGCTTAATTGTGCGGGTATCCGAGTGCTTGAAAATTTCTGACCACTATCAACACAACAGTTTTTAATATGCAGAAGACAAGACAATATGAACCATGATGCCACACAGTTTAAGTTTACTTCGTGTACAATGTTGTCTTTATTTTTCTAGAAAAAGCATAAAAAGTTATGAATGTTTGGATGGAAAAGTTAAAGAAAACAGTAAATGATATAATTATAAATGAAAGATGAAAACGATTTTAACCCAAAACTTTTTGCAGCCATTGTATATACTCTAGCATTGGCCTGCAAAGTATAGGCTACTGTATGTATGCTCACTATTCTGCATGAGGTACTGAAACAAGTTCAAACAACCATCTCTCCATTTCTTAACTTTTCACCAAGTAGTAATGAGCATCGATATAGTGGTCATTAAATTAATATTAAAGTATAAAGCTTCCAACTGTTTCTTTGATTCGGTACTATGAACTTATTGGTAACTGACAATGAAACAAAGTAATCTTTAACAGTTCACCGTGGCTGACTGTCATTACACAATATCCGCACTGTGTAGGCAATATTTGTATGTGACTATGACACTTAAGGTTGTACGTATGTACTTGCATTATGGCATAAAAAGCTGCCTGTTATTATAACACACATTGAGAGATTAAGACTGCTGAGTGCACCTGTGCTATTGAAAAGTTAGCACAATTGATGGGTGTGGCTTACCTCTAATATTTCAATGACAAATGTTTGATAATTTCCTATTAAGATTAGTGTGTGCATTTCTCACTTGAAGTGATAACTATACGTCAATGGTCAGTGCATCCTAATACCTTGAATTATGATGAGCAGCAGCCAACTACAGTTGAAACAAGTTAAAGTAGTTATACAAAAACGTAGAAAATTTTGGAAGATCATACTTATATTGATACAATAATTTACAGTATTTACTATTACAAATCACACAGTCATCAGGTTTGAAAGATTCCTATGAGAGATAGGCCTCATTTCTGTCCTAGAATGTCAATCGTGCTGTGCTAGAAAATGACGGTAACCATGAACTGACTGCCTGTAGTGAATCAGCCATTATTCATTTAAGAAAGAAAAATTCAAAATTTGCTGTTTACTTAATTGGTTCTTTGTCTTCTATTCTTTATTGTCAATGGAAGAAGTAAAATTTAGTATGGTATAAGCAAGTTTTTAGAGTATAATGAATGGTTGAATAACTTGATTGATAAGGTACTCAAGATTTTTGTACACTGTTAAATTTAAAGATAAATGACTTTCTAATCAATGTCACTGGCCTGTCACTAGAATTTAATCTGAGTCTCTGTCACAATGATTTCTTCCACTTTCATCTTCACTCTCTGTGTTATGACTTTTTTTTGCTGGTTTCTGATTTTATTTACTGTTTTCCCTTAAAGATAATAATTTGTCTGCAGCTCAGTTTATATTACTTTGTCTTGAACTTTGCATAACATTTTGTTTTCAGAACTGGGTAACAGTCATGACCGGTGGGTATCTGGTGAAAACACTACATGTACAATTAACTCTCTTACTATGGGCTCGGTCCCAGTGACCGACCTAGTTACTGTTTTGTGCTTGTTATAGTTTTCATACTATAACTTATAATACATTATATTTATCCTCACAAAATTTGGCAGACTTTTAGTAAACATTAGATGTCATTTGCATACAAAAATTCAGTTTTTTAATAAAGTATTTTTACTAAAGATTTGTCCGTGAATATATTGAATCTTTTTCTTGAATAGTCCGAGTACAAAGTGAATTTTAAATTAAGATTAAAAATACTTTTCTTTGTCTCAGAAATATCAGATTTCATTTGTGTAACTTCTAAAACCTCCGTAATAAATATAATTTTTTTTTTTTTCACTAAAACTTTATATTTGATATACTATTTTCTCTATCTTATCTCTGTACAGGTTTGATTGATTTGACTGACCTTATAACCATCATAAATAATTAGGAAATATATCTAAATTAGAAAACAAATAAGAATAAAATAAAAATTCTTCATGAGGTATGTATGTATGCAAGAACATCATTCAATACGGTAACACGAGCTAAATGTTTGTAGAATGATTTATAATTTGGGTGGCAGGATTATTAGTGGGACATGATTCAGAGGGCAATAACACAAATTTAGGTAGAAACAGATCTAAACTACTTAGGATAAAGAAATGTAGTTTCCCATTACAATTTGAAGTCATTCTAGAAAAAAAAGTAGATTTATTTCATATTTTTTATAGTTGTTCCAAGGTCATTCAAGCTGACTGAATGTGTATAGAGTTAGAGTAGAGAAAATAACAGATAAAATGTATTTTTACTTAAAAACATTTTTTTATTTATATGGGAGGTTTTTAGATATTTAAAAAGGAACTTTGACAACTTTTGAGTGAAGAAAAGTGTTTTTAATCTTTAAATGAAAATCACTTTGTGCTCATAGAAGTCAACAGTCTGTCTCCATATATTCTTGGACAAATTTTAAGTAAAAAACTTGTTTTTTCTTGTGTATGAAAGACTTTTAATGCTTACTGAAAGCCTTTCAATTTCTTGAAGGTACACAAAACATTAAAAGTTATAGTAAGGCAACTGATGGTCACTTTGGGGTTAGAAGGTTGTTCACCTTGACTGAGCCTGTAGCAAGAGGATCAGATATATTTACTATATATTTTGCTTACATTTATACACACACACACATGCGTATATATAAACACACAATGTTTGTACCTTTAACAGCTGTATCTATTAACTTTTAATTACATTATTGTGATAAAATTATCTTTTTGTTTTCTTAAAGCAATTAATATTTTTTGTATTTTAAGCATGTAAAAATGAAAAATTATTATGTGTCTATTTCAATTATTATGAGAATTAAAGTTCCATTATTGTCTACACACCCATGTATAAATATACATTTCTTAGTAGAAAACTTAAAGATCCAAAATTAGAAGGTATTTTATTTGTGTGTAAAATATTTCTAGGCACAGTCCTACAGATAGCACCTGATGGAAGTGTGATAGCACTACAGGCTAGTAGTCTTCAGGAGGATGTTGGAGTTTTAAGTACTGAAGCTATTAACGTAAATCAGAATAGTAACCTGAATATAACTAATGTGATCAGTGCTCAGAACAGCCAATTGGAAACAGATAACAGTGGTGGCCAGTGGTCAACAGGAACAGAAACTCCTTTACCAGGAACTCCCAGGAACACATCTGAAGAGTCTTCTGTTCAGCAACCAGAAACAGCAAAAGTCAGTTTACAGGAACAAACCTTTGGAGAAATTGACCTAAATGGTTTGTTGTGTGAATCAGAAGATAATGTTCAAGTATCAGTGGTGTCTAAAGTTTCGGTTCAATCAAAATCACAAACAGTGGAAAGCAGTTGTTCCAACATTAAGGATGGTAATAGCAGCAAACAAAACAACCCTGAACCCCAACAATTAGAAGACTGTACAGGCACTGGAGACCAGCCATGTAATGAAGGTAAATTTAAGTCTCTCAAGAGTAAGGATAAAAACAACCTTTCAATTATGTGGTGCTTATACAATCTTTGTATTTTAGTTAACAATCAGCATAACTGAAATAAGTTAATGAGCCTTCATGTTGTTTGTATTTTAGTCTGCATTATATATATCACTATTTAAATAATATAAATTTACTAAGCATGTAAACAAGGAGATTGATAACATGTTTAGTAGATATAAGTACTCTTAATAATGATGATGTTTTTGTTTTAATTTTTCATCATCAAAATTGTCATTTTCTTGAAATCCTACAAAATTCTCATAAAATTTGCAGTCAATGAAAGATAAATAAAATAGCTTATAACTTAAGCATTTTTGAAAAGTAGACCTTTCTTGATCAAGGGCAAGACTGTATCTAAGATCATACAAATTTCATAAAGCTACAGTATACATCTAAAATGTTTTATTAATATTCTGTTTAAAGATTAAATCTGTACCATTGTTCATAGGGCTCACAGGATAATGCAGAATATAATTTTTTTTCTCTATTCTGAGTTACTCTAATATTTCAGTTTTTTAAAACGTTTTCTACAGAAATATATATTAATAATCAGCTTTTTAAAGATTTGACTTTTTATACTTTTTCTAGTGTAACTTAGGTTGGAGTAAGCTTTAAGAAAAATGTTTTCTATTTGCTATGAGCATCCTATTGTTCAGGATCTTATACAGCAAGTTTGTTTCTTGTGAGTCTTTAAAAGTAGTTCCTGTGAGTGTTATTTTACCTTTTTCACAATATTCAAGCACTCTACTCTCTCTGAATATATGCACCGGATTAAAATAAACCAACCAATATTTTTTCAAAATATTGAATACCCTCTAACTGCCCTGTGCATACCCCTTGAAGTGTGCAGAAATAGTTTTTGTTTAACCTCTGAATGCAATTGCAGATGCTAACTTTAGCATAAATCTGATATATAATACTATTTTAAAATTTAATACTCCATGTTACCCTTATACAAACCTCTCATAAATTTGTGATACGAGGAAATGTGAAATTTTTTTTATATTTATAAAATGTTTATTATTATTTTTACATGCACGTGTGATCACGGGTGCCAGCTATGACATTTTTGAAAAATATATGCTTTTCTGAAGTATTTTTGGTTAAGAGAAGAATCCCATGGTGGGACAGTGGTAAATCTATAGACTTACAACACTAAAATCTGGGGTTTGATTTTTTACAATGGACATGACAGATAGTCCAATGTGACCTTGCCCTAAAGCAAACAATCAAACAATTAAGAGGAGAATTTATGGACTGCAAATACATGAGAAAACTTTGGGTGACCTGGATCAGATTCAGTATTACTATTAGAATAATGAAAAACCTGTGTCTAATTTCATAACAGTTAATTTTATTCTAGTGCAGGTAACTGACCATCTCATCTGTTTTTACTTGGGTTAAAAATGCCATATTAGTAAGGTAATACAGCATGGTCTGTGTTTAGAATTTACAAAACTATTATGCATTTATACCTGATAAAAACTGAATTTCATTCTTAAATATCTACAAAATTGTTTGTGATTTTTTTTCTTTGTGTGCTAATGAAAATGTTCAGATGGTACTGTACAGGAGAGTTACACTTTTTAATCCACCTCCATATTTTGGAGGTGGTAGAACATGTAAATGATATTAATATCCACCCATAATGTAGTTTCCTGTGCCGAACCCTAATTTGTTTATAATGTTTGTGTATTTTACTACATGTGTATAAGTGTTTTCTAGGTAATTTTAATGCAGCATCTATCAGATATTTTATGGCATCATTACCTTGGCATTTTGTTTGTATTTGCTTTATATTAATCTAAAAAATTGACAGAACTATATGTATAATACTCTGTGTACTGAAATGTAACCAAAATCTTGCAAGAAGAAATGACTGAACAAATGTTTCGCTGTATTGAGATTTGCCATAAGCTCTACCATGTTTGCATTCTTATTTTTTCATTAAATAAAATCTTTCCTGGAAATATTGTATAACTTAAAGTAATTTCATTATAACCAGAACTTTAATAGGTTCTGTCATGTGTAAACACTTTATCACTTAAAATTGCAGTTAACATTATACAAAGTTGTTGATGTATACTGTAATGCATTGTAAAGGAACCAAAAAGGTTGTGAAAAGTCATTGAGTTGTTTGTAATATATTTATTTTTGAATCTGACTGATTTTATATGTTTAAATACTGTTGGTTTTTTACTGACTGACTATGAATAATTCATATATTTCTTTTGCAGCTGACAAAGAGACCAACACTATTGTTATTGATGTTTCCAAACCTATTCAACTAGGTCAAAATTCTTTGATTGTTGTTAATGGGAAGAAGTGTGTTCTTCAGCACAATCCCGACACTGGAGAAGTGGTAGCTTATCCTGTGAAAGAACCAGAGAAACAACGAAAAAAACCTGGCAGGAAAAGGTGAAAGTCTTAAGAAGTTTCTGCTGTTTAAAGATAGAAGCTATTTATATTAATTGTTTATATTGTGATGTAGTATACTGAGAAAATTAAGTAAAAATGCAGCAAAGACAGTGTGTGTGTCATTAGATTTGGGGCAGGAGATACAGGCTGTCCTTTCATCTACCTGAAATGAAAATGGAGGAACAGATTTTAGTGTATTTTTGAACCCAGAGTTTCTGCAAAACTCTACCCTTACTCTATACAGGGTCTGTCAATTTGACTGACCTCATAACCACCATAAAAAAAATACAGAATATACCTAAGTTAGCCTTTTTTTTTATAAAATTACTTCAAATTGTGACAGGAAACTACATTTGTTTATCCTAAATAGCTTAAAGCTTGTAAGAGTATAAATTTTTTCTACATAAAAGTTTATTGTTTCATTGCCCTTTTAACCATATCTAATTAATAATCCTCCCACATAAGAGTATGTAGCTCATGTTACCCTATTGAATTACATAATACACAAGGTGCTTGTAAATGTAGG